TTTTCACAATAAATTATAAATTAAAAAAAGTCTCACAGAGTTTTTGCCCAGGTGGGCTTTGAACCGCAGTCCTCAGATCTCAGCCTCCTGAGTAGCGAGGATGACAGGCGTGAGCCACTGGCGCCCAGTGAGGCACTGTTATTTTATCAATCACTTCTCTCTCTTTTTCTCATAACCTACCTCACATTGAGTTATATTTCATGTCACTAGCCTTTTATTCTTTAGGGTCCCATTGGTAAGCTTATTCAGTAAGTTTTCTATTTGAAATATATACTTATTTTGGCCTTTTTTTTGTTTTTGTGGTTGTTGTTAAGACAGGTTCTCACTACATAGGCCAGGCTGGCTTTGATCTCATGATGAGTTTGCTTTAACCTCCCAAATGCTAGAATGGCAGTTATATGTGAGCCAACACACCTGGCTGGCTCTCAATTCATTCATTGTTCTAGAACAGTCATTGTTTTTGTAATTTCCATTGGTTGGCTGACAATTCCTATGTATTCATTCATTCTGACAGTGTTTTCTGTTAAGTTCTTAAAATATTTTCAGAATCACTGCTATTTAAAGTCCTTGACATTTCCAACTTCTTTTTCAACATTTTATTGGATAGAAGAGAGTGCTGGCTTAAAGTGGCATAAGGAATTTATGAAAATACTCTTTCTCTTAACTAAGATGGTTGCTGCACACTTCCATGTGTGTATAGGAAATACATTGAAATGGTATACTTAATTACATGTTTTGCTTCATATAAAGCTACTGAGGAGGCTGAGATCTGAGAATTGAGGTTCAAAGCCAGACTGGGCAGAAAAGTCCATGAGACTCTTATCTCAAATGAACTGCTCAGAAAAATCTGGAAGTGGTGCTGTGACTCAAGTAGTAGAGCACTAGCCTTGAGAAAAAAAAGCTCAGGGACAGCACCCAGACCCTGAGTTCAAGGACCAGCAGATATATATATATATATATATATATATATATATATATATATATAAAATCTTTTAAAATCCCCTCAAAACAAATGCAGCTTAAAGGATCTTTGATAAATAGGACACAATATAGTTCTCTGACAATGAAGAAGAAATTACTGGCATAAGAATATCCTCACAATCTAATTATTTCATCATCTTAAGAATGTGATGATATCATCATTCACAGAAGACAGAATAATAAGTACACAAACTTGAGTGTCATAGAACCAATACACTGAACTTTTCCTTAAAGCCTTCAAAACTGCCTATTTAAGATTCTCCACATATCTTCTCAGTTCCCATAAATGTCGAGTCTCTAATGAAGACTATAAAATTCCTACATGATCTGAGGAAAACGATAGGTAAGAGACTGTCCTTAATTCAACCAAACAGCCCCATCTCTTTTTCTGTGCGTAATTTCATACCAGGTTGAATAAATAACACAAAAGAGTTTGGCTAAAGTTTGATGGCTAAAATTCCAAGATCAATGTACAGATAATCTAAAAATTATAGTTTATCTCCTAACTCATGAGCTAAATAACTATACATTCAATTACTTGGGAGAAGGTATATACATACTGTATGCAACAGTATATGTTGTATGCTACAGTTTTTCCTGAAGTAACCAACTATAAAAAATAGTTAACTTCATAAGTATACAACTTTTTAGAATCCAGATAAGTACTTTCATAAGTAAATCTTTTTTATTAATACCTTACTTTATGCAGTTAGTCTGTGAAGTAGATTATTTTTGTAGTAGAAACTTTTTTGAAGATAAAAGTCCTTCATAATTTGGAAAATAGAAATGAAGTTTGTAAGATCTTTTATACCACAGACACCTAAAACAAGCTAATGTACTAAGAGTTTTTTTCTTTTTCAATTTTTTTTTTTTTGGGTCCGGTCATGGGGCCTGAACTCTGGGCCTGGGCGCTGTCCCTCAGCTCTTTAGCTCAAGGCTAGCGCTCTACCACTTGAGCCACAGCACCACTCCCGGCTTTTTCTTTTTGCTTATGTGGAGCTGAGGAATCGAACCCAGGGCCTCTTGCATGCAAGGCAAGCACTCTAACACTGAGCCACCTTCCCAGCCCCTTAATGTTTTTTTTTTATTGTGAAAATACCATACAGAGGCGTTACAATTACATGAGCAAGGTAATGAATACATTTCTTATCAAGCATTGTTGCCTCCTCCTTTGTTTTTCCCCTAACATCCCTGCCCTCCCATTTCCACCACTACACTTCCCCGCCCCTGTTCTAAGACTTTTTGTAGCTAGGTGAAATACAACCAAGAATATCCACTGACTCAACTATTTTCATATAAACAGACAACCAATGAAGGAGCTGAAGTGCCTTAATTGCTAATTAGTTTATCTTAAATCATCTAAATTATCAAGAGGGATTCATACAACTTACTGTGTATACACTGCATGATATTTAATCTATTTGCATTTATTTTCCTTCACAGAAAAAATGGCATGCAAAAGAAAAATAATTCTATTATTATTGATATTATTGTCTCTATGGTCCTTACCTATGGAGTATCATTTCAGGTAACAATAAAAGTTTAATGTTTTATTCTGATACTTGGTAAGAATCTCATATGTCAAATAGCTAACCGGATTGAGTTGTATAAATTGACATCAAATTATACTGATCCAAATATATGTACAAATTATACCCAAATACATCATATAATATAGTCTTAACCATCAAAATTATTTGTTTTAATGGAATCAGTAATAAAATATATCTGTTGTTTTAAAAATATTATATATATTATCTTGATATATATATTGTCTTGATATATATTTTATTGGTGAGAATGAGTTCCTGACCTTTCCTACTATTATTGTGTTGGGGTTTATCTGTGCTTGTTAAGACCAGAAGTGTTTGTTTAATAAAATTGGGCATTCCAATAGTTGGATTTTTTTTAATGGATTGTGCCATTCATAAGTATGAAGTGGTGTTCTTTGTCTCTTCTGGCAAATTTTGGTTTGAAGTCTGTTCTATAAGATATGGATAAAGTTGCTCCTTACTGTTTTAGGAGTCCATTTGCTTTATCTCTTCTTTCACCCCAAACCAATGGTTTTGTTTTAATTTTTTTGTCAGTCATGGGGCCTGGGCACTGTCTTTCAGCTCTTCAGCTCAAGGCTAGGGCTCTCCTGTTTAAGCCACAGCACCACTTCTAGGTTTCTAGTGGTTTATTGGAGATAAGAGTTTCACGGCTTTCCTGCCGGGGCTGGCTTTAAACCGTGCTCCTCAGATCTCAGCCTCCTGAGTAGCTAGGATTACAGGTGTGAGCCACAGGCACCTGGCTCAAACCAATGTTTGTCTTTATCAGTGATATTTTTATCTAACGGAGTCTGTCTTTTAGAAAATTGAGATAGTTAATAATTAGTATTAATACCAAAAGGTATGTAGTAGATCCTGTTATTTTGTTTTTTTTGTGAGGTTTACTTCTTTTATAATCCACATTTGCTAATCTACTCATCTAATGGATTTTATTCTTTCTTGTATTTTTCTGATTGCATTTATCTTCTGGTACAGGATTCCTTAAAGTATCTTCTCCAGTGTTGGTTTAGTGGTCATAAATTCCTTTTTGTTTATTGTGGTGAGTTTTTATTTCTATTTCAATTATAAAAGCTAACTTTCCTGGATATATGAATCTAGGTTGACAGCTATCTTTTTTCAGTGTTGGAACATATCATTCTATGCTCTCCTTTCTTTTAGTGTTTCCACTGAAAAATCTGTTGTTATTCTGATATGTTAGCCTTTATATGAGACTTGGTACTTCACTCTTATGGTTTTTAATATTTTTTCTTCATTCTGTAAATTTAGTGATTTGACTATAATAGTCTAGTAGGTTTTCTTTTCTTATCTTTCCTGTTTGATGTTTGGAGAGCTGCTATTCCTGGTTGACCATCTCTCAAGATTAGAACCGTTTTCTGTTATTATTGTTTGAATGTTTGCATACAAACTATGCAGTGGTTGGGGAGAAATAAGTAATAATTTAGACTCACTGAATGCTGGTCTCAACATTTATATACCTTGTCTAGCATTTCACCTCCCTGTGGGAAATAGGAAGCTATGGAAGATTCATGATTCAGAAGGTCTGGACTCTGAGTCCTCTGTCCTAATTGCCATATGCTGACATGCTGCTAAAATAATTTTTGTAGGTCCATATTTTGAAAAAAGTAATATGATGCCGGGCGCTGGTGGCTCACGCCTGTAATCCTAGCTACTCAGGAGGCTGAGATCTGAGGATCGCAGTTCAAAGCCAGCCCAGGCAGGAGAGACCGTGAGACTCCTATCTCCAATAAACCACCAGAAAACCGGAAGTGGCGCTGTAGCTCAAGTGGTAGAGCGCTTGCCTTGAGATGAAGAGCTGAGGGACAGCGCCCAGGCCCAGAGTTCAAGCCCCACGACCGACAAAAAAAAAAAAGTAATATGATGCTACCAGTTACAGTAGCAATATAATGTTTATAAATGTTAAAGAGAAGCTACCATTTGGATATAGGTGATATGTTCTTAAGAAAAAAAACCTACTATTGCTACTATTGCTGACTGCAGGTACTATATATTGTATTTGCTTTCTATAAACCTGACACAAGTAGACTTAATTAGCAATTAAACAGTTTGTTGTAATCCATAACCAACATATAATTGTTAAGTAGTATAATTCACAATATTAGGTAATAAAAGTGCTGGACTGGTAGTTTTTAGTTCTAGCTTTAGCCATCTTACATGTAAAAACTTTTTATATGCATTTGAAAGTAATGCTTGTCATTTGTCTTAAGCATACAGAAACTGCAGAGAATGTATCAGTGCTGGTAAGTGTTTATTTACAAATATGCTATAAAGTCTGAGTAAAGAATGGTTTGGAAGACAATGGAGTACTTGTGGGTCCTTAGTCCTTGCAATCTGAATAAATCACTGCAATTATACAAATACATGTTGGAGATAATTAAGTCAGAAGCCAGAAACCAAAGCAGACTAGCAGAGTGGCATCTGTGTTAGAGGGGCGGGACCTTACTAGACGAAATGAATTACTACGAGTGAGAATCAGCCTGCCATAATCATCCTTGGGTCTCTGAAAACTCTGGGAAAACACTCAGGAATGAAGGCTTATTTAAATGATTCGGAGGAGATTTCACTAGCCACAGTATCATGTATGTGGAGAGGAAAACTTTCTCAAAAATTGTGTACTATAATAGGTTCTTCATTTTTCTCCTGTAGTTATAGAACCCACATTAAAAAAAATGGCTTTCTGGGGCTGGGAAGGTGGCTCAGTGGTAGAGTGCTTGCCTTGCATGCCTGAGGCCCTGGGTTTGATTTCCCAGTACCACATAAGCAAAAAGAAAAAAGCCAGAAGTGGTGCTATGGCTCAAGTGGTAAAGCGCTAGCCTTGAGCTGAAGAGCTGAGGGACAGCGCCCAGGCCCAGAGTTCAGGCCCCATGACCGGACCCCCCCCCCAAATGGCTTTCTTCCTTAATGTTTATTGTGTCCATGGGCCTTTTTTCCTCTAAGAAGTCTATAACTTACAACATCCTTACTGAGACCATGACTAAGCTAAACTGTGCCATTCAAAAAATAATTTATTAAGAAGGCATGTTTCCCCTACATATAATCATGGCAAACAGAGAACAGTAACTTTCAGAAAAACCTATGGGTAAATATTAGAACATTCATGAAAGTCTTCTGCATCAGAAACTGGGAACAGAAATAGATTAAAATGTTTCCTGGAAAATGCATCTAATGCAACTCATTCTAACAATTGTATTATCAATATTAGCTCACATAAGCATCAGGATTCTATAGCTTTATTATACTGATACTAACGTATCATTTAAAGGCAATGGTAGTAGGCGTTTGAGTATAATGCCATGTTTTAGTTAAATCCTGACCTCAAAATTTTCCTGTTTGTGCACACAATACATTTCACCTACCCAGTTTCCACCCATTTTCCACAGACTGCATTCTGCCAGTCTGCTGTTTCTCTGGCTTTCTGATCTTAATTACCTTCATCATGTATCTGCAACATTACACTGGCTTACTCTACCTGCATAGATAAAGATTGGTATGAATTAGCTCATGACATACAAATTGGCTCCATCTTTTCATTCGTTCAGCTCAGGATCAACTTTCCAAGATGCCTTAGCTCTACAATTGGGGTGTTGGGTGGCTTGAGAATTTATGGCAAAGAGGGAAGGGAAGGAGTTGGAAAAACTGCTTGTAACTTTGAGCAAGAAAATAAAAGCACCTCGTTTTAATATCCTGAACTAGTAACTAGGGATTAAGTGATTAAGTACCCATCTCATGGGTGCTGTATAGGCTAACTCAGATATAATAAGGAAAACATTCAGTAAGGACTAACTTAATGGAGGGACTCTAATCTCATGTAGAAGACTTGGAAACACTTCCCTCAGGAAGGGCTATTTAAAATGAACTCTGAAGGCTATATGGAATTAGCTAGTTCCAGTTGTGTTAGGTTTAAAGAGATATTTTTTTTTAAAAGGTCAGTGAGCCAGAAAGATTATGGTAAGGGCCTGGTAGGAGATGTGGCTAACAATGTTAAAAATCTGGGTTAGACATTTAAAGACTTTTAAAGAGAGTAGTGACACACTAGGTAAATTTGAAGGGGGAGTGGGAGAAAGTTTATAGAGCTTTAATTCAATGCTGCTGTTTCCTCTATAAATTAGATGAATAAAAAAGATTTCTAGCCTGGAGCTGGTGGCTCATGCCTGTAATACTTATTACTCAGGAGGATAAGATTGAGGCTTGAATCCAGCCTGGGCAGGAAAATCCATGAGACTTTTACTTCCAAAAAGCTAGATGTTTAGCTGTGGCTCAAATGATGGGGAGGTAGCCTTGAGCAAACAAAAGGCTCAGGGACAGCATTCAGGCCCTGAGTTTAAGACCTAAGGCTTTCACACTGCAAAAAAGGATTTCTTGGTAGCCCAAAGAATTAATTTGAGTTGGAAATCATGATTTTTCCATGTTATTTAATCATGAAATTTAATTATTTTTCTTGCTGCTTATTCTTATTTTGCACTTTATTATTATACAGACCATTGATTATCTCAAATTCTAGTTGATATATCTTGACTCTGCATTAATTTTCCTTTCAGGTCTCTGAAAAATCAAGAATTACAACTATCAGACTGGTTTGATCCCAAGTAAGAATCTCAATCTGGCATATGGGAAGTTAAACCATAAATGTATAAACAGATAGCAACTGCACCACTACTGGTATCCAGAAAATTGAAGGGTAGATGAATCTCTCATTATAGCATTAAACAAGACATTGACCAAGACCCACTGGGATTTAGTATTTGGATCCATATCCTTCATGTTGAGACTTAAATCTTTTTAAAATTGTGATATAGAGGGGCTACACACACACACACACACACAGGCACACACACACATGTGTGTACGTGTGTGTTTGTGAGATATAGAGGAGTTATAGTTACATAAGTCAGGTAAATAATACATTTCTTTTTGGACAATGTTACTCCTCCCTCACTCTTTCCCAGTTTTTTTCTCCTATCCTTATGTTGAGACTTTTAATTGTACAAATTCAAGGTGTTAAGACAAGGACAGATCATGAGTGTTGAGGTAGTATAGTTGCAGTCATTTGGTTAGTGCTCATTTTACCAATGGGCCCAAGTGGGACAGATGGACTCTGGATTTGCCATGCTTCAGTACAGAGCTTCCCTGTTTCCATTTTTCTCACTTTGCCCACTTGTCTTTTACCCCAAAGCTATAGGCCTTAAGGAAAGTACCTAATTAATACTTCAAAAGGGTGCAAATCATGACTGGATCATGGTCCATAGCTCCTTCTCTATAACATTATAACCATTGTCAGAAGCTAATTAGGACTTAGAAAGCACACCAATTATTCAGGCAGAGAATTCAATATAATGAATTAACTAATAGGAAATTGTTAAGTAGGTAATAAAATGACAAAAAAAGGGAATTTAAAGGAATCATGGAGGTAGCAATCACAGGAGTTATTTCCACTTTGGGCTAAAGAAACAAAAAGGGTTGAATCATCAGACCTTAGAAAAAGTGGTGGTTCAGGGAACTTCAACTCTGATGCTGCTTCATTGGTGCTAGTGTCTGAGCTCAACAGAATCCCCTGGGGGCTGGGATTCACACTGTTACTGTAAATGATGTGAAGTCTGAATACCAGATTCAAATGCTACTCTGAAAAGGGACTGCTGTTGTTGGGATGAAGAAACATTGCTGGTAGGGGATCTGCAGGAAAAAGAAGCAACAAGAAGCCGGCAGAACACAGAAAAGAGAGTTTTTTTTCAGTCTTGGGATTTTTCCCCCTGTGCTCACTATTATCAAATTCTAGCAGGGTACCAACTGGCTAAGAGAAACAGAGTTAGCAGAATTTCAGCTCAAGTAAAATGAAACAGAGTAAATAGTATTTTAGGCTTAGTCATGAAAGACAATAGCTTCATAACTGGTATATCATCCCACTGACACAACAGCAAAGTATGTCCTAGCAATTAATGATGATTTATGACTATTGGACAAAAGAGAAAATTGTAATCAGTGACATAGATTCTAAATAGGCTCCAGATAATTCCCATTGTCTTATTTTCTTGATTATCACCATTAATGATGCAAAATTTCACATATGAATACTGGGCTCTTTAATGTTGACTTTCCTAAAACAATGTTATCCCAAATGCAATCTCAATCTCTCTCTCTCTCTCACTATCCCTTTGTCTTGTAGATTTGAAGGCTTTGTCTCTATATTTTTGATTACTGTCTTATTGTTAGCTATATGTAATATGCTGGCTCTCTGTACTCAAATTTGAAAACGGAATGTACTGAATTTTAGTATCTTCTGAATGTTGTGTGTCTATTAATTGCAGGACATCTTTGTCACAACAGAAAAAAAAATCCCTCCATTCTTCAATTGCCCCACCTGTTGGAAAACACTAATTCACTGTCTTCATAAGTTTGCTCATTTGGAATAGTCCATAGGAATGAAATTCAATATGTGGCATTTTATGTCTGGTCCCTTTCAGTTAGCATGTCTCCATTATTGCATGTATTTCTAGCTGAATATTATTCCATATGAACATAAAACATATCAATTTATAAGATATGGACATTAACTTATTCCCATATTTTAGCTATGATGAATAATTCTGCTATAAATATTCATGTATGGGTTTTCTGATAGATATTTATATTTTTCTTGGATATGTAAGTGGAATTACTACAAATGGAATTTTATTGAGTCAGGTGGTATTTACATGTCAAATTTTATTTATTTATTTATTTATTAGTCATGGGGCTTGAACTCTGGGCCTGGATGCTGTCCCTCAGCACTTCAGCTCAAGGCTAGCACTCTACCACTTGAGCCACAGCACCACTTCCAGTTTTCTGAGTGGTTTATTGGAGATAAGCGTCTCACAGACTTTTCCTGCCTGGGCTCACTTTGAACCTCCATCCTCAGATCTCCGCTTCCTAAGTAGGTAGGATTACAGGTGTAAGCCACTAGCACCCAACACATATCAAAATTTTTGAGGAACCATGAACTTGTTTTCCATAGTAGCTGCACCATTTTGTATTCCTACCATAATGTAGAGAGTTCTAACTTCTCTACATCCTTGCCAATTTTCTAGTGTTTGTGCTTTGTTTTGATAGGTTTTTGTTGTTTCTGTTGTTATTGTTTTCAAGACAGGGTTTTATATGTTGCCCAGGATAGTCTCAAATTCCTGGGCTTAGTGATCCTCTGGCCTTATCCTCCAGAGTAGTTGGGCTACAGGCACTGTACTCTAGTACTTGCCTTTTTATTGTATCATGACTATGTGTATGAAATAATATCTCAATGTACTTTTGATTTGTATTTTTCTAGTGAAATCTAGTGACATGTGTGTGTGTATGTATGAGTGTGCATGTGCATGTGTGTGTGTGCATGTGCATATATGTTGGTACTCAGGGTCTGGGTGTTGTCCCTTAGTTTTCTTGCTCAAGGCTCATGGTCTACCACTTGAACCAGTTTCACTTCCAGCTTTTTGGTGGTTTGTTGAGGAGTCTTACAGATTTGTCTGCCCAAGCTAGCTTTGAACCATGGTCCTCAGATCTCAGTTTCCTGAGTAGCTAGGAATACAGATGTGAACCACTAATGTCCAGTTTCTAATGACCTTGTATATGCTTATTGGCCTTTTATGTATAGACAGAAATGTCTTTGCCATTTTAAAAATTGAGTTGTTGCTGTTGTTGTTGTTGTTGTTGTTGTTGGTGGTGGTGGTGGTGGTGTGTGTGTGTGTGTGTGTGTGTGTGTGTGTGTCTCCACCAGTGCTGGAGCTAGACAAGCTCTTGCTCAAAAATTTTTTTTTTTTCTGGTCGGTCATGGAGCTTGAACTCTGGGCCTGAGTGCTGTCCCTCAGCTCTTCAGCTCAAGGCAAGTGCTCTACCACTTGAGCTACAATGCCACTTCCGGTTTTCTGGTGTTTTTTTGGAGATAGGAGTCTCACAGTCTCTCCTGCCCGGGCTGGCTTTGAACCGCGATTCTCAGATCTCAACCTCCAGAGTAGCTAGGATTACAGGTGTGAGCCACCAGCGCCCGGCTTTGCTCAAATTTTTTGCTCATGACTGGTGCTTTAAGACTTGAGCCACACCTCCACTTCTATTAACTGTAGATAAAAGTGTCCAGCTATGCTAGCTGTGAACTGCCATTCTTAGATCTCAGCCTCTTGGCTAGCTAGCATTATAGGTGTGAGCCACCAACAACCAGCTCTTGATTGTTTTTATTTATTGTAAAAAGACACTAAAGTTGAGCTGTATGGTTTCTTCATTCATTTTGGATACTAGACTCCTAACAGATAAGTGATTTGTACATTTTTTTCTCCTGTGCTATGGGTCTTTTTTTCCTTTTTTTTTTGGGGGGGGGTCCAGTTGTGGGGCCTGAACTCTGGGCCTGGGCGCTGTCCCTCAGCTCTTCAACTCAAGGCTAGCGCTCTACCACTTGAGCCACAGCGCCACTTCCGGCTTTTTTCTTTTTGCTTATGTGGGGCTGGGGAATCGAACCCAGGGCCTCATGCATTGCAAGGCAAGCACTCTGCCACTGAGCCACCTTCCCAGCCCCTCCATTTTTTTTTAATAGTATCCTTTGATGAAAGAAGTTTTATGCTCTGATGAGTCTAATTTATTATTTTGTTATTGTTTTCACCTATGTTTTTGGTGTTATATCTAGAAAACCATTGCCAAATTCAAAATGTGTTTTCACTTACAGTAATCTCAATGTATTTTTTCTAGATATTTTGATACTTGCTATTTTAAAGGAATGAGGATGCTTCCCCTATCCAAAATCCAATTTTTAATTTTTTTAATTATCTTTAGGTAGTTGTGCAAAGGACTTGCCATTTAACAAAGCAGTTTATGAATATAATACATCTTGATCAATGCCACCTCTTTCGACATTCTCACCCACCCCTCCCCCACACACCCCTTCCCTTACTCTTCTTAATTTTGTAGGCTATGCAGTGAATTCCTGACTGCCTTCTCCCCCTCCTCTTCATTTGTCTACCCTTTTTCCATTGGTCCCATTCCACCCCTTTCCAGTACCTGCTGCCTGGTGTTTATTATGTTGAGCTTTGACTTTGCCTTTCTAAGGAATTACACTTTCTAAGGAGTTCTCCCTTGAATCTACCATATTTCAGTTAATGCATTTGTATATACTTGCATACTACCCAAAGTATTTTCTTATTAGGTTATAAACGAATCCTAGCTTCCACATGTAAGGAAAAGCATGCATCCTTTGTTTTCTGATCCTTCACTTTCTATTTCATAGAAAAGTTTGAGTATTGGTGTTAGTACTCCTTTGAAAGGCTTATAGAATTGGCTGTAAATCTATCAGGTCCTGGGCTTTTCTTGGATGGAAGGTCTTTCACTGTCATTTTAATTTCAGTGCTTATTATACGTTAATTTAATCAGTTTATATCTTCTTGGTTTTGTTTAGATATTATAACATTCTCTAGAAATATATCCATTTCTGCCAGATTTTCCAATTTATTGGTGTGAAGATTTGCAAAATATTCCCTTATAATATTCTGAATTTTGCTTGTTTCTATTGTGATGCTTTCTTTTTCATGTCTAATTTTACTTATTTGGGTGATTTAAATTCTCTTAGGTTTGCTAAGGGCCTGTCAATTAAAAAAGAATTAAGAGCCAATGTTTTGTTTTGTGGATTCCTTATATATTATTTAGTCCCTAATCCATTCATTTGTGATCTAATTTTTATTATTTCTTTCCATATACTGGTTTTGGGTTTGGCTTTTCCTGTTTTTCTAGAGGCTTGAGGTGCATCATTGGAGTATTGACTTAAGATTTCTCTAATTTCTTGGTAGTCATAACTTTCCTCTAAGTACTTCCCTTGATGTACACCAGAAGAGCTGGCATTTTGTGTATTCATTTATATTGAATTCCAGAAACATTTGAATTTCCCTTCTTATCTCTTCAATGAGCACTCATCACTCAGCAATATATATTGTTCAGTTTCCATGAATTTTAAGTATTTTCTGTAATGGTTTTTGCTTTGGTGAACTCCGATTTTATTCCATTGTGGTCTGATCAGATACAGAGAGTAATTTTGATTTTCTTGAATTTGCAGAGATTTGCTTTGTGACCTAGACTCTAGTCTATTTTGGAGAATGTTCCATGGATTTCTAAGAAGAATGTATCTTGTGACACTGCTGTGTAGAATATTCCATAGATGTATATTAGGTCCAGCTCATCAATGCAGCTCTGGGGTTTCTTTGCTAAGTTTTTGCATGTTTGGAGTATGAGGGTTTTTAGATCAATCGGTATTTGTTTAAGGCAGTTGGGAGCGTTAGCATTCTGTGCATAGATATTTTGTCTTCCTGATGGATATTTATTAATACGTAATATCCTCATTTGTCTCTTATTTTCTCATTTGTCTTGCCATTCCTTCCTTGCCCCGTAAGTTATTTAAGAGTGTATTATTGGTTTCTTTAATTCCTATGTTCTGCATGGAAAGGAAGAATTGTTTTTGTCTCTTTTCCATTTCTTTCTCCTTTGACACTGTTATACTAATATAAATCCTTGCTAGAACTTTAAAAAAGTATCTTGTTTAATTTCTACATGTTGTGGGCTTTCCAGATTTTCTGTTCTTTATTTCTAAATTCATTTCCTTGTATATAGAGATATATTTTGTATGTTTTCAGTCTTTTAAAGTTTATAGGTGTTTATATGGTGTAGTCTATAGGCTGTTCCATGTATACTTGTGCATTCTATTGTTGGGTAAGTGTTCTGTCTATGTCTAATTCTCTTTTCTGCCTACCCAAATCTTCTGTTAAAACCATACACTGTTTTCCATTACACTTCTCAACTCTGGAATTTCCATTTGGCTCCTTTAAATTATTTCTATCACTTTACCCATATGCTGTATAAATACTGACCCCTTGTTTCCCTAGATTCTCTTAGTTCTTTACCTCTAGTTCCCTTTAGTTCTTTGAGCATATTTAAAGGAGTTAAAGTCATTGCCTCTCCAATATAATGTCTAGGATTCCTTGGAAAGATCTTTTTGTTCTTGTGAAAGAGCCATATTTCGTGTTCCTTTTTATGTCTCATACTTTTTGCTTAAAATGGGCATTTTGATGATGATATTATGTTCTTTATGGAAATTTTATATTTTACCTTCCTTAGTTATGTGTCTTGGCTGGGTGCCGGTAGCTCATGCCTGTAATCCTGCCAGCCCAGGCAGGAAAGTCTACTATTCTCTTATCTACAATTAACCACAAAAAGCCAGAAGTAGAGCTGTGGCTCAAATGTTTGAACACTAGCCTTGAGAACAAAAGCTCAGGGAAAGTGCGCAGGGCCAGAGTTCAAACTCTAGGACTGGTAAAATAAAAGTTATGTGGCTTATAGTTTTGTTTGTTTAGTACTTTTCTAAACCAATTTTTAAGTTTTTTCCTAGTGTTGGTCTCTGGGGTCTCTGTTCCTTTTACTTATGTTTAGATAGTGGTTAATAGTGAAGTAAGAAAGGAAGAGAGAAAAAAGAGGAGGAAGGAATAAGAGGAAGATAATAGAAGGGAACAAAAGAAAAAGAAGGAAAAAAGAAAGGAACAAAAAAAAGGAAGAAAAAGGGCAAAAAAAAAAGAACAGAAAAAAGAAAGACCCAAAATGGAAAGAATGAAATAAAAAAACAACAAAAAAGAAAAGAAAAAAGAGAAACAATGAAAAAAAAGAAGGAAAAAAAGAAAATTAAAAAGAAGTGGACCTTCATTCTTCATATTGGTTTTGAAGCCCTTCTCTGAGGTTTACAATTGTGTCTTAGCCTAAATTTTCTGCTTATACTGAGCCTAAATCTCAGCCAGGGATGAAAATGCAGGTCTTTTCTGAGCATGTGTCCTAACCTGGGCATGTGTATACATTAATAAATTTCCTATTATACACCAAAAAAACTATCTAATCCTTTATTTTCCAAAATAACTCATCTCCTATATGTGCTTCACAGCCTTTCAGCATCTCTAGTGTTTGTTCCAACTATAATTTTTTTGCAGGGCATCAGACACTTTTCTAAATTTCATTCAAGAACACCCTCCCCTTACTTACCTTAGCTACTTTATCACTTTGAGAGAGATCTCAGCGAGGTGAAACAATGCTTTCTATCATTCTCTCAGGGAACCCTCAGGTCAGAACAATCACAATTCCTTGGGAATGAGGCTCACTCTCCTCACTGCTGATTTAGTCATCCAGTTTGATGACTTCAGTATTACTACCATACTGTAGAAAGAGTTGGGAGTGAAAATAAATTGAAAGACCACTAAGTTTTCCTAAGTATTCCTACCTAACTTTGACTTGGTTGCTCTAAATCTAATGAAGCTGATATAGGCAGTACACAAGTATCAGCACTGGCAGTTTTTTTCAAACACTATCACATTCATTTTTTTAAGTATGCATTAAGAATAACCATGTAAAAGAAACACTTTAGACCAGATATTAGCGATAGATATAAAGGAAATGATAACTTTAGATTTTGGGAGACTTTTCAACTATATATCTTTAAAGATCTTGAGATTACAATGTAACTAAGCCGCAAGTGTACTGTTGAAATGATTTGGCAATTTCTGATATGCTGCTTCTCCAGTTTATGATAATTGACAAGGCTTTGAGATGAATAAAGATGTTCCATTGAGATTCAAGGTTTTAGGCATTAGCAATTTCTCCTGTTGTTTTGTTAAAAAGTATTTTATTATTTTGTTTTTACAAGTAATAGAAGGGGGCAAATATGATCAAAGGACATTGTATGTGTATGGAATCATTACAGTTCAGCTTCTTACTTTATACAATATATGTTAATTTCAAAAACTCATATCTTTCTTACAGATATAGAGATAATGTAAGTACTATTACTGAATGGTCTGCTCCAATTGTGTGGCAAGACACTTACAACGAATCGTTCTTGAAAAACTACTATGCACGTCATAAAGTTGCTGTGGGATTGATTGTATTTGCTGTGGGAAGGTAGGTATCGATTCCAAATGTCCTTCATATTCAGACTTTTTGTTGTAGAAAACAGTAGGCAATTGACTGGAGCACTTTATAATTTCACTTAGTAATTACTCTCTTTAGGCCAATTCCTGACATAATTCTAAATATTGCCCATTTGGTCCATGCCCAAAAAAATCTTAATGTGTTCGTTTTCTTGTAATTTGATTTTACAATCATCTGCCAATTATTTTAATGTCTGTACTTTTGTTATTACCATCCTTCATTGTCCCCACACTACACTAGATAAACCCAACAATTTTTATTCTTCTTTGCATTCCCCAAGTTACAAACTACTTCCAGGTAAACCTACTTAACTATGGTTACTCATCCTTCACAGGAATAGTAGTTGAATACACAATAAATCAGGATAATTGCAATTATCAGCAGTAGAAATTTTACATTCTATAATTTCTTACAATCATAAGGTAAAAATATAGAAAAGATCCCTAAAATCATTCAGGAATTTTTAAACAAAAGCCAATGTCTGTTGTATTGTTAATCTAATAGAAATGAAAATCATGAATGTAGATTCATAAAATAGAAAAACAAATGCAATGAAGCATTTTTACTAAAAGATAGAAGAATAGTCATCACGATGATCTCTTCTAAAACCCTATGACAACAACAAATATAGGTAAAAGGATAGGAGTGTTTTAAGACAGAGCACTGTTAAACATAGGCATTAAAGAGGAGGGGGAATGAGAAGCAAATGGGTTTTCAGACGGATGAATGAGCTGTGAAGATGGCTCACCTGGAATGCCTACAGCCAAAAATCAGGGCCTGAGAGAGGCCATTAACGGGATCCTGATATGACTGGGGATGGAGCTGAATAAAAGGGAGGAGAGAAGGTATGATCACTATCCATACCTGCAGAGCCAAAGACCTTGCTCTGGAGAGTAAATGGTTGCCACTTCACAATTTTCAGAATCGCTTTAATAAGTGGCCAATGAAGATAACTTGCTGTTCTGTGCTATGTCCCTGTTTGCTGCCTGGGAGAGTGAATTCCACGCTGATGTCATAGGCTCCAGAGCCTCTGAGAAGTACACTAGACTGCAGAGGGTAGAATGGAGGAAACAGAGCCTGTGTATAGCCAGCTATACCTGGTGTGTCTGCCAGATGCAAAGATGATCCAGGGAGAATGTGGTAGAAATAGATCCCAGGCTACCAGCCTTTGAAGAGAAAGAACTTCTGAAAAACATTCCTCTATGACACATGCTCCACTCTGACAAAATGAGACTTGAAGACAGGATTTTTGAGTGTAAGGATCCAGCTGAGAAAAAATAGTCCTGTGGGATTCCACTCACATAGAGCCCCTAGAGATGGGGAGCCAGATGACACATACTCCAGATGTTTAGGCAACAGCCATCAAAGCCAGGGGGCACTGTTGGCACCATGTGGAGCAAGGCAAGTAAACCATGACCTGCCAGACCAGCAGTACTAACAAGTGTGGAAGAGAGAGATTGCCAAGAGGTGGGGTTATGTGTGGCAGTATTATCTGCAGAAACAGGAGCCTGGTAGGCCCCATGTGTCAGGAAAGCTGAAGAGTCATTTTCACATCTGTGTGTAGGCAGGACATACCTGAATGAACAGATAAGTGAGATGGACAACTGCCTTCACAGCGGCTCCTCAGTTGTCTTGCTGAACATTTACTGTCAATTTGTGTTATCAGCATAACTCTAAGCATTGTTTTTAGAAGGATATCAAAACGCATTGAAGCTTGTGGTGGCTGCATGGCTGTGACACAAACCTCTTCTCTCCCAAGATTGCTAGTGAACAACAGAGTTATGGGTATTCCAAGTTTACTTGGAGAGTGTAAGCCCATGAGTGTTTAGAAATTGCTTTTGTTGAAAAGCACTGACTTATTACTTGGGCCTACAATTATCTAAGGGTAACTAAAAGCAAGATTAAAAAATAAAAGCTTGGCATCTCTACCATTTTATATCTGTCATCTTTACTTGAATGATGTTTCCTGTAATAACCTTGTATTCTAGAAAGGACAGGACTGATAATATAACATGTGCATAAATTGGAATATTTAAAGGAAAAATGATAAGAAGTATGGTGTAAGAACTATGGGACACTATTAAAATACCCAACCTATGAATCATAGGCATCAAAGAAGCACAAGATAAAGGCATAAAAACATCAAATAACTGAAAAAATTTTCCAAAATTTTAAGAAAGAGTTGGTTGCTAAATAAAGGATGTTTCATAACACTAAATAGAGAAGACCAGAAAAACTTCCATATTATACTAAAAAAATGTTGAAAAGCTGCAAAGAGAATTGCCAAATTACATATAAATGTAATCCCATCAGAGTAAAGCTACATTTCTTAATATAAACTTTGAAATTCAAGAAGGCCAGCACTTACATATTACAGGTCTTGGGATATGTGATTCTACGCTTTCTTGATTTTCAAAGGTTATATTGATAGGATTGTTAGTGTTTAAAAATGTCATATTCTAATAAAAATTAGAAAATCCAGAAGAAGTGGGTACATTTCTAGATGCATTTGACCCTCCAATTAGACAGGTCTATACTGTAATAAGAAATGACTTCAAGCAGTAATAGTCTGTCAATGAAGAAAAGCCTACGGCCAGAGAGATTCATTATTAAATTCAATTATACCATTAAAGTAAAACCCCAAAACTATTACACAAGAGAAAAAGAACACTAATAAAGTCATTTCTGACACCAAAACCAGATAACACAACAATAACAAAAAAATTATAGATCAATTTCCTTAATACCCATAGACACAAAAATTCCCAATAAAATAATTACAAACCAATTCAAATTCAAACAAATTATAAATTCAACAATATGTGAAAAAATATCATACACTATAGTTGAATGGTTTCATTCTAGGGATCCAAGGAGGTTCAACATATGCAAATCAACAGATGTAATACAGCACTAAAAAGAATGAAGGTCAAAAATCACACTATCATCTCAATAGATGCAGAAAACCTTTGACAGAATTCAATCTCCCTTCATGATTAAAGCCCTGAAGAAATTAGGAATACTGAGAATGTACCTCAACACAATAAAGGCTACATAATTCCAACCTATAGCCAACATAGTGCTAATTGGGAAAAACTAAAATATTTCCTTTGAAGTAAAGAACGAAATGGGTGTGCACTCTTATTCAATATAGTACTTGACTTCTTAGAGTAATAACTCAAAATGGATAAATAAAAGGCATATAAATAAGAAAGGAAAAAGTCAAATCATTCCTATTTGTAAATGATATAATCCTATATTTAAAAGACCCTAAGGATTCTCTAAAACAGAAAGAGAAACCACTTAGATTTAATAAATATTTTCAACAAAGTGGTAGGAAACAAAAATAAACAAAAAATCAGCCAGGCACCAATGGCTCATGCTTGTAATCCTAGCTACTCAGGAGGCTGAGATCTTAGGATCATGGTTAAAAGACAGCCTGGGCAGGAAAGTCTGTGAGATTCTTTTTTTTTTGTGGGGTCCGGTCATAGGGCCTGAACTCTGGGCATGGGTACTGTCCCTCAGCTCTTCAACTCAAGGCTAGCACTCTACCACTTGAGCCACAGTGCCACTTCCGGCTTTTTTAATTTTTTCTGCTTATGTGGTGCTGAGGAATCGAACCCAGGGCCTCAGGCATGCAAGGCAAGCACTCTACCACCGAGCCACCTTCCAAGCCCATCTGTGAGATTCTAATCTCCAATTAAGCACCAAAAATCTAGAAGCAGTACTGTGTTCAAGTAATAGAGTACTAGCCTTGAGCAAAAAAGCTCAGGGACAGTGCCCAGGCCCAAAGTTCAAGCCCTAGGACCAGCACGTGCATGCACAGACACAGACACAGACAGACAGACAGACAGACAGACAGACAGACACACACACACACACACACACACACACGTATTTTAATAACCTAAGCATTTACTTTAAGGAACTACGTAAAAAAGAGCAAAATAAGCTTAAGCCAAGGAGAAAACATGCATCCATAATTTTAGAGTTGAGATAAATGAAATGTAGAATTCAAAGTAAAAAACTGGTCCTTTATAAAAAAGATCAGCAAAATTTACAAACCTTTGGAAAAAAAACAAGAGATAGGGACTAGGAATGTGGTTAGTGGCAGAGTGCTTGCCTAGCATGCATGAAGCCCTGAATTCAATTCCTCAGTACCATATAAACAGAAAAATCCAGAAGGGGTGCTGTGGCTCAAGTGGTAGAGTGCTAGCCTTGAGCACAGACAGGCTCAGGGACAGTACGCAGGCCCTGAATTCAAGCAGCAGGACTGGCAAGCCAAACAAACAAAAAACAAGAGACATTCCATCTTCAAACCTGTCAGTGTCATAATAACAAAGCTTAGAAACGGACACAAATATTCATTATTTGAACTTATTTTATTTATTTATTTATTGGGGGGGAGGTCTGGTCGTGGGGGCCTGATCTCTGGGCCTGGGTGCTATCCCTCAGCTCTTCAGTTCAAGGCTAGTGCTCTACCACTTGAGTCACAGCGCCACTTCCGGCTTTTTTCTTTTTTGCTTATGTGGTGCTGAGGAATCGAACCCAGGGCCTCAAGCATGCAAGGCAAGCACTCTACCACTGAGCCACCTTCCCAGCCCATTTGGATTTATTTTAATTTGAATGCGTGTCAACTATATTTTCAGAAGAATATTTTCAGTTCTATTTTTTTATAATTTACATATAATTTTACATATGCCAAACTAGAAAGCTTCATTTTGACCTGTAATCAGCTGTATTTCAGATCAATATCCAGAGCTTCTTTTTTTTTTGTCGGTCATGGGGCCTAAACTCTGGGCCTGGGCGCTGTCCCTCAGCTCTTCAGCTCAAGGCTAGGGCTCTACCACTTGAGCCACAGCGCCACTTCCAGCTTTTTTCTTTTTGCTTATGTGGTGCTGAGGAATCAAACCCAGGGCCTCATGCATGCAAGGCAAGCGCTCTACCACTGAGCCACTTTCAGTCCCCAGAGCTTATTTCTTAAGATTAAATAAACATCATTGAAGCTGAGTCATAGATGATTACCTTCCCTTTTTTGAATATCTCTAAGGGCTTTTATTACCCTGAGAATCTTTTACTGTATCCTAAGACACAGCAAAGGCCACAGTACAAAATTTTTAAAATTACGCAGATGGTAGGGTATGTACTATTCCTCCCTTGACTTTGTAAGCATAGCAGACCATTCCTAAAGCCAGATACTGACAGCAGCATTTCCTCCTGTAGAGATTCAAGAACTTCCTGCTTGCAGCCTGGCCCCCTCAAAGCAAGTTCATTTCTATGATAGCCTTGAAATCTCTGGCTTTCATCTGCTTGCACCATTTTAGTCCCTCTCTTGGGGAACTCCTATTCTATGACTTATAGAACTCATCATGAAAATAAAGGAATAATATTACAGCAAAGAATCAAGGCAGAAAGGAAGGGGACAAGAAAGGGCTAATTATTATAAAATTACATAGCATGAAACTATGAAGATGTCATAATGAAATGCAGTATTTTGTATGATCAATAATGATACTGATAATAATACTTAGTTGCTTAGTAGTATTTTTGGATATGTTATGTCCATGGAATTTAGATAGTAAGTGTTCCACTAAAATACAAGACCAATTTCATTTAAAAAATGTGGGAACTATATATAACAGAATTGTATACACCGCTATTAGAAAGAATAACATTATGTCATTTGCAGGGAAATAGACAAATCGTGTTAAGTGAGGTAATCTTAGAGAGGCAAATGGCACGTGCTTTCTCTCATATCTGGGAGCTAGATCTAAAATACCAGGACATAATAAATTATACAGGTCTCTATGCATTCACAGTGAGACCAAAGGAAGATACTCTTAGGAGAACAGAAAGGCACAATGCCTATGTGCATCTGGTCATCCAAAGTAATAATTGTCAAAATGAACTCCAGAAAATGAAAACAAGAGTTTTGTCTTCTGCTGTTTTTGTTCTCTTCTGTTTGTTTGTTTATATGTTTTGGGGAATGTTAAGTGAGGTACAGAAATGGAGGGACAAAGTGTGAAAAATGCGGAAATAGTACTCACTGGCCACTATATTGAAATTGAACTATACAACTTATGGGTGGGAATGGGAGGGAAAAAGTGGGAGAAAGCAAGGAAAGGGGTGACATTGTCCCAAAAGAAATGTACCCTTTACCTGACATGTAACAGTAAACCCCCTCCCCCTCTGTAAACCACCTTTATAATAACAATAAAACTTCTTTTTAAAAGAAGAAGAGCAACTGAATCACTTTTGGTTTACTTCACAGATATGTTCATTACCATTTGCCTATCTTTTTGAAATCTGCTGATAGATTTTTTATGATTGGTCAGAAAGTCATCATTTATATCATGGTAGAAAACTTCACTGATCTATCCTGGATATCTTTGAATCGCCTTCGAATGTTTAAAGTTTTTGAAGTTAAAAAAGAGAAGAGATGGCAAGACAACAGTATGATGCGCATGAAGATAATTGGTGAACACATTGTGGATCACATCCAGTATGAGGTTGACTACCTATTTTGCATGGATGTAGATCAAATTTTTGTAAACAGTTATGGTTTGGAGACTCTGGGGAACTCAGTAGCTCAGTTACATGCATACTGGTACAAGAAACATCCTTCAAGGTTACCATATGAAAGAAGCAATTTATCTGAAGCTTATATACCTAAGGGTAAGGGAGATTTTTACTACCATGCTGCTGTCTTTGGAGGCACAACCATTCAAGTTCTTGATATTGTCAGGGAGTGTGCCAAAGGAATCATGAATGACAAGAAAAATAACATTGAAGCAGTGTGGCATGATGAAAGCCACTTAAACAAGTATTTCTTTCTCCATAAACCCAGTAAAATCTTATCACCAGAATACTGTTGGGATTACCGTGCTAGACGCTCTTCTGATATTAAGGTTGTCAAACTCTATTGGGATATGAAGAATTACAAATGGGTTAGGGTGACTGTGTAATTTTATAGCCCTTCTTTTATGCTTTTCAATTTGAGAGCATCATGTTGCTATTTTCCTTAGAAAATTAGTACTCAATATATTTTAGCACTAAAATATCACTACCAAATGGTAAGCTTGCCAACCTGATTCATACTTTTCCTTATATTCATTTTGAACCAAATTATGTCGGATAAGGTAACTGCAGAATTTGTTTACTGAAACCAGATGGAGTAGCAGTAATTTCACATCTTAGATGAATGTTGAGGAAATATTATTATATTGTTATTATATAATAATATTATTATTATTTATTGGAATAGAATGGATTATGGGACAAGAAAATGAAATTTGAAATATTTTAATTGACCCAAGTAGATATGCTTCTTGTGTTACTGAAAGAAAAATTTTTCTAGAAGTATGGGTACAACTTGGAAAACATTAAAGCTGCCACCAGATGGGCACACAGTTACTTATAAAATTTTTAGTCCTTCATGCACAACTATATGCTTTTAAGACTACAAAGCTGTTTCTTATAAAAACTAATAAACATATGAAGAATAAGTTGAAAGCTGTTCAATAATCTTCCTTGAAAAGACTTTCCATATTCTTGTGTGTTTGTGTGTGTGTGTGTGTGTGTGTGAGAGAGAGAGAGAGAGAGAGAGAGAGAGAGAGAAAGAGAGAAAGAGAGAATGAGAATGTACTGGAGCTTGAACTCAGGGACTGGAGGCTGGCCCTGAGCTCTTTTGCTTGTGATTAGCAGTCTATTACTTAAACCATAGCTCAATTCCTGACACTTTTTGGTGGTTTATTGGACATAAAAGTCTCACTGGCTTTCCTGCCTGGCTGGCTTCAGGTAAAGAGTACATTTCTTTTTGAACAATGTCACCCCTTCCCTCTTGCTCTCTCCCATTTTTTCCTTCCTGTTCCCACCCACAAGTTGAGTAGCACATTTTCAACATAGTGCCTGCATTTGTTCTCCTTTTGGCCCTCTATTTCTGGTCCCCCTTAACTCTCCAAAGGCAGATAAATGAACAAACAAGAAAAAAGAAAAGAAAGACTCCATATTATTTTTCATGTATTTATATACTCAAATCCATTCTATGTAATGCTGACCTTGAAATGCTGGGCATACTATTAGAAAAAACTGGAAAGATAGACTTGTGAGTGAACAGGCAAATGGCTATCTCAGTTCACTATTTTTGCTACCTATCCAGGGCAGATTTTATTTCAGTTCATTTTTTTAATTTTTAAAAAGGATTGTTCAAAGGGTTTATTCAAAGTACAATGCATCTTGACCAGTGTCACACCTTTCATTATTCTTTTCCATCTCTCCCAACCCCATCAATCCCCTCAGTTTTCCCAATTCCATTTTCACACATATTATGGCTGCATTCTCTCAGCCTTCCTCTCTTCATTTGTCTATACCCCTTCCCTTGAACTCATCCATCCCCCAACACCTCAAGTTTCCTTTCCTGGGATTCATTTTGTTAGATGGTAACAGTATTTCAAAGGAGTTACACCATTGAAATCCTCCCCTTTGTAGACCATACTTCAGTGTGTTTGTGTACAGATGAAGATAGCAGGAAATATAATAATTTATCTTCTATACTCCCTGAGTCTTCACTCTGCTCAGTAGATCACATGACATTTCTAACCTCTATAAATTATTATGTACTCATAACTAGTATCCATTTTATACTTTCCGTCAGGGATATGGTCATCCCAGTAAAGGTCCTTCCTCAAGGTGATATAGGCTCCTCTTTGTTCAAGAAGCCTATTGTCTGTAATCTGGCAGATGTAGAAACACAGCAAGACACCATCATTTCTTATTGTAGCAATTCAACTCACATTTTGACTTATGAGGTCTCAAAGTTCTTCTAGCATCACAGAATCCATAATTCTTACTGAAGTCAGAGAGTTCATTTCACTAGCTTTCCACATTGACCCATTTTTCAGTGACTTGCTGAAGGAAATTATCTTTGAAGTCCCATCAGGGAACAAAAGGGTACAGGAAGAGACTGAATATGATTAACTCCAAAATTCATGTTTCCTTCAACCTTTGGATTTATTCTATGTTATGCCAGGGGAGTTATGCCATTGTAAACTTTCTAGAATAAGCATAAGTATTCACAGATCTTATTATAACCCTGAGTGGGTATGCAGCAACTTCATGTCCCAGAATCTTCTTTTTTTTAACACTTTATTTTTTTTATTATCTTTATGTAGCTGTACAAAGAACTTCCCATTCTACAAAACAGTATATGAGTACAAAGTGTCTGACAACATTGTCACCCATCTCTCTTAGCCCATCCTTTCTCTCACTTTTTTCTTTAATTGAGATTAGGTGATTACATAAATTTTACATATTTCACAGTATTGTTAGAGTCTCAAACATATTTTAACTTTCACAAGGCAAATTGTCATTATCATGGTCTATACAGTTTGTGGATTCTATGAGCTTTGACATTACAAGTTATTTTTTCCACATCAGGTGATGTTTACATTTCTTTCTTTTTGCTTAGTGTGGGCTGTTCCCACTTATTCTGTTCCTCCTCCTGGCTTCCCTTTGTTGCATGCATAATACAGAGTCGTCTTGATAATCTAAATAATTGTGGTGCCACTACGGCCAAAGGCTCTCTCTCTCTCTCTCTCCCCCTCTCTCTGTCTCTCTCCCCCATCCCCACCCTGTTCCTCCCTCCTTTTCTTCCTCCCTCCCTCCCTCCCTTCCTTTACTTGTACTGGGGCTTAATCTCAGGACCTGGAAGCTATCCCTTAGAGTCACTATTTCTGATCTTTCTGGTGGTTAATTGGAGTAAGAATCTCATAGACTTTCCTGCCACACTTGGCTTTGAAATGCAATCCTCATATCTCATCCTCCTGAGAAGCTAGGATGACAGTTGTGAGCCAAGACATCTGGCTGCAACTCTTCTAATGGTAAGGAGAAGATTCTCCTTACAAGACAGAGTCATCAACACATGGTAGCCAACTCAAACAGGCATGTAACCTAATTCAAGAATCCCAGTATGACAGTCTATTTCTCAGAGTCTTTGGTAAATAATTGCATAATTGATTATTAGTCATTCTCTGTATCTACAACCTTCTGCATTGCCTCCAGAAGATAGCTATCTAATAACCAAATAAGTAGATTTGAACCAGGAAGCTCCCAATCAATGCACCAGATTTATTATTGCTGTCCTTCTAAGACTAAATTAGCCTGGAGCAGATCGACACAAATGAACCCTAGAGTCATGAACAAAAATAAAGCATTGTTACTTCAACCCTTTAAGCTTTTGAGTGGTTTGTTATGCAGCAAAAGCTGACACTGGACCATACTCTAATATTAGCAACTGTATCAATCAATGTGATCAATTGATCGAACAATCAATCAGTGATGGGTTTGCTAAGGAATTTGGAACTGTTAGGGAGTGAAATAGAACCATCTTCAAGGATAGAAGGACAGGAAAAGGCCAAAAGCCTTGACTCAAACTGAATTTACCATATGCCCCTACATAAGTGCAAGAGAACTAGAAAATGGACTATACCAAATACTGGTTAATATTAGTAATATCTAGCCTAGAAAATATACTACAGTAATAATAGAAATATAGTAATAATATAGTAATTTTGTAATATCTAGTACTCAAAGTACCTAGCAAAAAAAGTCACAGAAAAGAACTGAGGAAAGACACAGACAAGATCTTGCAAGAAGAATAATCTGTTTGGATATGGGCTTTGACCCCATTTCCTCTACACTCAGTTGCTTATTACTGACTCCATCTACACCTCTGGAAACATCTGCCACAATGTTAATCTTTGAATCACTATGAAAACTTTAACTGAACCCCCTTATGGCTGGTTCAGAGACCCAAGAAGGAGGATTTTATTAGCTTGCCAGGTAGTTTGTCATACACCAGTTTTTAGCTGAGGAAGAAAAAAAATTGTTGACAATTTCAACTACCATACAGAAGAATATTGCTCCTTCTTAAATTTAGAGCTCCCCTTACATGAAAGGGATTCAATTTGTGGTAGCCAAAATATTTTTTAAGTGAATTGCTCAGTGTAAACGGTTTTTATTTATGAAAAGCAAAGCTTCTTTTTCCTAAATTTGTTAATATTTATTATTCTCATTTGTATTTATAAAGGTGTTTCATATCTGGACATTGATTTGCAAATTCAATATTGGGAAGCTGCCAGGAGCTGGTGGCTCACGCCTGTAATCCTAGCTACTCAGGAGGCTGAGATCTGAGGATCATGGTTCAAAGCCAACCCAGGCAGAAAAGTCCATGAGACTCTTATCTTCAATAAATGACTAGAAAACTGGAAGTGGCACTGTGGCTCAAGTGGTAGAGCGCTCACCTTGAGCTGAAGAGCTGAGGAACAGTGCTCAAGCCCAAAGTTCAAGCCCCATGACCAAAAACAACCCCCCCCCAAAAAAACTGGGAAGCTATACTTGAACTAAAAATGATGTCCCAGATGCAATGTATGTCAAATCATCAAATCATGTGGATACTCAAGTTGCTTATATAAAATGGAGGGTCCTGAACACAATCCTCATGAATACCATGCAGTAATTATACTTATTTGCCTTTTGTGTGTGTTTGTGTTGTTTAACTTTTTTTTGTTGTAGTTGTTCCTCAAATCTTTGATTCATCTTTTTTTTTTTTTTGCCAGTCCTGGGGCTTGAACAAAAGGCCTGGGTGCTGTCCCTGAGTCTTTTTGTAAAGCTAGCACTCTACCACTTGAACCACAGCACAACTTCCAGCTTTTTCTGGGTAGTTTATTGGAGATAAGAGCCTCTCAGATTTTCCTGCCACGGCTGTCTTTGAACCACAATCCTCAGATCTCAGCCTCCTGAGTAGCTAGCCAGGATTACAGGTGTGAGCCACTATAACCAGCTCCATGTTTTCTTTTTTAACAACCAAAATGTGTAGTAATAGAAAACTACTTAAAGTATGACATATTTTTGTAATAAAATACAATTTACCAGGGAAAAGATGAATTATAATGGAATTGTCTTCAAAATATATTGGTAAGAAAGAAAGTAGAATTACTAAGAGCATGTCACACACACACACACACACACACACACACACACACACACACACATACACACGCGCACCTGTATCAACTCAGAAAAATTGAAGATCAAGCCCAGGAAACAGTTAACAGTAGTTGTTGGAAATGGAGTAACTAGAAGAATCAGGCTGGAGAATAAGCCTCAATGTGTATCAAGTCACCTTATTTTCTGTTAAAATTTTTGTACATGTGCCCACCCATTAATGCACATACCTTTTAAATAAAAAAACAATTCATTTTAGAGGGGAGGGGAAAACAAAGGTACATGTAATTTCTTTTTTTCTTTTCTTTTGGGTCCGGTTGTGGGGCCTGAACTCTGGGCCTGGGCGCTGTCCCTCAGCTCTTTAGCTCAAGGCTAGTACTCTACCACTTGAGCCACAGCGCCACTTCCGGCTGTTTTCTTTTTGCTTATAGGGTGTTGAGGAATTGAACCCAGGGCCTCATGCATGCAAGGCAAGCGCTCTACCACTGAGCCACCTTCCCAGCCCCAAGGTACATATAATTTCAAAGTAAGAGTAGTTACCTTTAGATATTGCATATTTGCTTATTTTTTTCTTGTGCTTTTATGCATTTGACAAGTTTGGTAACATGAAAGCATGTTATTTTTATTATCATGAAAGTACATGTTTTAAAAACATTCTAAGGGCTTATTTATCTCTGTCTAGGATAATTAAGCAATGTCTAAAGAGGTTGAAAAAAAGTGGTTAATTTTTCTCTGTCATAAATACACATGCAAATGTACACATATCATTCAAAATTTATTTTAAGTAAAGATAAGTTATAAATAAAAGTGGGGCTGGGAAGGTGGCTCAGTGGTAGAGTGCTTGCCTTGCATGCATGAGGCCCTGGGTTCAATTCCTCAGCACCACATAAGCAGAAAAAAAAAGGCAGAAGTGGTGCTGTGGCTCAAGTGGGCTGAAGAGCTGAGGGACAGCATCCAGGCCCAGAGTTCAGGCCCACGACGGGAGCCAAAAAAAAAAAAGGTAAAAGAGTGTAAGAAAGGAAACTAAAATGTTTAAATCCTTTAATTTTTCAAACGGGATGAAGTTCTACTGTTTGGTAGCCATGAGAACTTGGCATCACTGCATCATTATGACACTGGTTTTCTAATACTTTCATCATCAAAAGAGTCTGGTGACATCACCAGAAATAGAATATTCACATGACAGCAAGATAGTACAAAATATTTCATTTGACCTTGTTTGTTGTTTGCAGACTTACAAATATAATGTTTGGAAGTCATCTGTTCTAGCACTCTACTGAATCACCAAAACAAGGTAAAGTTACTCTTACAAGGTACTACATAAAGTTTAGATGATATTAGCAAAAATCCTAAGTAGGGATTCAAATTTTTTACCTAAAAGTTCATCATATAAAATATTTGGTGAATGCCAGGCACTAGTGGCTCATGCCTGTAATCCTAGATACTCAGGAGGCTGAGATCTGAGGATTGTGGTTCAAAGCCAGCCTGGGCAAAAAGTCTGTAAGATTTCATCTCTAATAAACCACAGAAAACCAGAAGTGATGCTGTGGCTCAAGTGGTAGAGCACTAGCCTTGTGCTGAAGAGTTGAGGGACAGCACCCAGGCCCAGAGTTCAAGCCCCATGACTGACAAAAAAAATGGTGACATTTCAACTTATTTTTATATTACTGACTTTTAAGAATAATGTCATTGAAGGCACATTGCCAGAAAATAATCTGGTTAAATGGATCAGTCATCTCATTCTTGCAGTATTACAAATTATCTGAACTTAAAAGGTGCTCATGCACATTGCTGGGACAGTTAAATTGTACCACATTGACTCACAGGATGACATTATCTACAGGAGAACTTTCCAGCAAGAAATATGAGCCACACGTTTTCACTTTAAATATTACAGGAACCAGGCTGGGAAGTTGGCTCAGTGGTAGAGCGCTTGCCTTGCATGCCTGAGGCCCTGGGTTCGATTCCTCAGCACCATATAAGCAAAAAGAAAAAAAAGCCGGAAGTGGCACTGTGGCTCAAGTGGTAGAGTGCTTGCCTTGAGCTGAAGAGCTGAGGGACAGCGCCCAGGCCCAGAGTTCAAGCCCCACGCCGACCAAAAAAAAAAAAAACTACCTTTTTTCTCCTCCTTTTCTAGGAGGAAATGAATTCTAAAAGAAAAATGCGATTGTTGATTTTACTTTCTTTATTGCTGATATTGACTGAGCATCATTTCAGGTAAATATACAGTCCTGATGAATCATTGTCTTGAATGATTGGCAGAGTTGATCAAAATGGCTGAGTTTTATAAAAAAAATTAAAATAGTTCCTAAATTAACCAGAAATCATGTCTTCTTTGGTGAATATAAATATTAATTCTTTCTTTTCAACATTCAGGAAGTATCTACCTGTCGTATTCTTAGTGTAGGCCCTGTTCTAGGCAGTAGAAAGCAGTAATAACTCTTAGTTACCTTTCTCTTGGAGCTTTACATTTAGGTGGAGGTCAATGAACATAACATGAAGTGTATCTTATAATGTTAGGGATGTCAGTTGTTTTAATATTGTGAAGGAAGAAATAAAACAAGAGAATAGCTTTGGCCTATTTAAGATAAAATTTTAACTTACATCAAAATTTGATCTAGTGTGAATAAGAATGAAAGCACCTGCTAGGCAGATATGGCTGGAATAAAAATTTGTTATACCTGCTAAAATTTCCTCACACTAAAGATTCAATGTGTGTGTGTGTGAACAATGAAAAGGGTGGCATTGATCGAGATGCATTGTACTAAAAAATAGTTATGCTGAATTGAAACCCCTTTGTACAACTACTTAAAGATAATGAAAATTCAAATTCTTACCTACTCCAGTGCCTTATTTTTGTGGTCATTTTTCCTTCCCATCCTCCCTCCCTTCCTCCCTTCCTCCCTTCCTTCCTTCCTTGCTTCCTTGCTTGCTTCCTTCTTTTCTTCCTTCCTTCCTTCCTTTCCTTCCTTTTCTTTCTTTCTTCTGAGACAAGCTCTCACCATGAAGCTCAGGCTGGCCTCAACCTCTATCTCAGCCTTTTACATGTTGGAATTACAGGTGTGAGCCACCATGCCCAGCTTCTCTTGGTCTTTGTAAGGAACACAATGTTATGAATGTTATTTGAAAAGCAGCTATATTGTGGGAGCTAATATCTTTTCAAATTAACCTTATTGCTTTAATATAGTCTGTATTTTTTTGTCCTTCAGGGGTATTGTATATTAATTATAATAGTATTGAAGTCATATTTTTGAAGGTAATAAAGGTCTACCTTATTTTGAAAAAGTAATAGACCATAAACTGGTAACAGGCATGGATTATATTCAGTAACTATAGCATTATTCCTGGCAAATAGTTTGATATGGTTAACAAATTGAATTTAAATTCTAGACATATTTTCCAAATTTAAAACTAAAATAACTTTTTTCATTTATCCAAAGTATAAAGAATCACCTACAGAAGATGTATGCCTGCTGGTAAGAGTCTGTTCTATAAATACTGTAAAAACCTATTAGGAGAAATTGGGCTGGAGTCAATTGGGTTCTCATTGTGTTGATGTAAAACATTGTTCTGGAAGTTGCTATAATTTAAGCATTCCTGTACACGACAATGTTTTTCTTTTGATTTTAATAGCACCCAGTAGCCAACTTACTCAGTGTGTGTAGGATCTCAAGATTAGTGAAAGTAACCCTCAAAAGAATAATTTTTTTTTTTTTACAATATCAGCATTTGTCACTGTTTTTAAGTGAAGGTAGGCACAGGAAGTTCTAATTCCCCAGTGCTTTCCTAGGGAATCTCATAATGAAATATCTTTGGTGAAGACACTTCTGAAAATAGAAAAGAATGAAAGTATTATTTTTTTCATGTTATTTCAAAATAAAATTATAGATCAGAGGAAGCTACAAAGAGATCATGCATCCTTTTTAACCAGCTTTTGCCTATTTTGTCTCCAATAATCTTACATGATTATAATAATGATAATCAAAATCAGGAAACTGACAGTAAGTCAAGATCTTTTACCCTCAGTTGAGTCCTGGCCTAGAAAGTGTTAAGGCCCTGAGCCAAATCTGCGGAACGGCCAAAAATAAAAATAAAAACTAAGTATTTTTTCAGTTGTATTCTTCTCTTGAGAATGAATGTTCTTTCTAAAATAGTCTCACTTGTCCTTGAAGCTGGCTTTTACCATTTGTTTTCTCTTTTTTTCAAAATGATTCCTATTTCCAGGTTCATTGATCTTCCTCTGTCCTCTCCATTTTGCTGTTGAGTCTTTTCACAGTTATTTCTTTCAAATTTTATCTTTTAAAATTTTTATTTGCTGCTACTTTGTATCTTCTAAAACTTTGGTCAGGTTTTTTTGTTTCTTTGCTAAGCTTTCCTATTTGTTTCAAATGTTTCAAGTGTGTTTATAGTTGCTCACTGAAAAAACATTTTTTACAATGATTTCTTTAAAGTACTAGTAAAGTGAGATCATTCTGACACACGTTATATCTTACATGTGCATAATTTACCTTTCTTCATCTACATTGAGATCCTCCTGCACATTTGGGGTGTGAGGTTGTGCCATTCTAGATTTTGTTTAAGTCCTGTGTTTTCTCAGTACTCTCTGACACTGCCACAAAAAAGGGGCTGGTGTCATCTCATCACTGTCAGTTAATGGTGAAATATGAGGTCTCTATTCTAACTCCTTCAAAATCAGGAATGGAGTAGGGGGGCGGATACTTGGTTACTTTGTTACTGAAGAGTGGAGATGTAAAGTCAGAATTGACTTCTGTGTTACCATAGAAAATTGGCCTGAATTGCTGAGTACTGATTAAAGTTCTGCCTTCCTCTAGATGAGTGGAGTGAAGGCCACAGTTTTTTTGTAGTATTAGGCTGCAGTGGTATGGTTAGGGTCTAAAAGTCTTCTGTTTTGCTGTGTTGCCCCTTTCCTGCCTTTAACTGTAAAGAGTAGCTTTTTCTTGAGGCTCTTTCAGTGTTTGTGTTAATCAGCATTTCTGGTTCCTGGCTTTTCCAGTAATCATTTAGGGTTATGTGAACCCAGTGCTATATCAATCTCTTAAGTCCTGGAGCTTCTAACCAATTTGTCTTCTCTCAACCATTCAGAACATTGTTTTATATACAATGTCGGGCTTTTTGACTATACTCATCAGAGTATATCATAAAGAAATGAAGAATAAGAAAAATTAGGGCTATCTCATCTTTGCAGAAATGCAAGTTGTTTAAAGGTATTCTTTTTTGTTGTTGTTTTGCTGGTCTTAGAGCTTGCACTCAGGGCCTGGGTGCTCTCCTTGAGCTTTTCTCCTCAAAGTTAGTACTCTACCACTTGAACCCACAGCTTCACTTCCAGCTCTTTGGTAGTTAATTGGAGATGTGTCTCACAGACTTTCCTGCCCAGCCTGGCTTTGAACTGTGATCCTTAGATCATGAGCCACTGGTGCCACTTTGCAAAACATTCCAGGTTTATAGAAGGAAAATTGACTACTAATATTGTTACCAGAATGTACAGCAAAACTTTTGGTAGGCTGTGGAGGGTGGCACACACCTATTAATCCCAGCATTCAGAAACCTGAGACAAAATGATCACAAATTGGAGTCCTGTCTGGATGACATGAGGTTTTTATGAAAAGAAAGAAAATGAGAGAGAGAGAGAGAAAGAAAGAAAGAAGGAAGGAAGGAAGAAGAGAGAGGGAGGGAGGGAGGGAGAGAGGGAGAAAGGAAGGAAAGAAGGAAGAAATAAGGGAAAGAAAGAAAGGAAAGAGATAAAGGAGAGAAGAAAGGAAGGGAAGGAGGAAGGGAGAGAGGGAAAGAGGAAGAGGAGGAGAGAGAGAGAAAAAGGACAGAAAGAAAAGAAAGGAAGAAAAAGAAGGAAAGGAAGAAAGAAACCCTTTGTACATCACCTTTACAATTAAAAAAGAAGAAGAAATTGAAAAAAAGAGAAAGAAAAGAAAAAAATCTTAGGTAGGTTCTACCTTAAAATGAAAATCAAAGATACGTGGACCTTTATTCCCAACTTATTATTTCAATGCGTAACTGAGTACCTATCACATAGCAAGCCACTGATGACTGGTAGAAGTTAATGAAATCTTCACATTGTCTAAATTTTTTTTATTTAGTTGTGGGGCCTGAACTCAGGGCCTGGACACTGTCCCTCAGCTCTTCAGCTCAAGGCAAGCGCTCTACCACTTGAGTCACAGCACACTGGCATTTTCTGCTTATGTGGTGCTCAGGCACGCAAGGCAAGCACTCGACCACTGAGCTACCTTCCCAGCCCAGTGAATACAGATCTTTCTGTATGATCTGTTACTTTAAAATTATATCTGCCCCACCATCACCAATTCTTCTCTATCTTCTGGCCTTTGGGCATGACCTCTTTATCATATTGTCCTTTCTGGAGTAGTCTTTATCCTCTCAAATCCAATTTAAATATTTCTTCTCTAAGGGGTTTCCCTGAACCTCAAATTTCTGTTGGGTAACTCATTTATATGTTCCCGCAGAACTCTATTCTGTGTAGCACTTTCACTCAATACTGTAATTATCTCTTTTAATTGTTTTTCCTGCTTTCTATAAGCTTCTTGTTCATAGTCATAAAAACAGCACTTAACTGTCCCTGTGGTACTATAGAAGTTCAACAGACATTTATTTGAGTGAGTGGATTGCTCTTAATGTGATTTTTCTCTTTGGACCTAGGAATGATCAAGTGGAAGAACCCCAGCTCTCAGCCTGGTTTAATTCTAAGTAAGAACAAAAAATTCTGTTCACAAGTAATACAACTCTATTTGAAGAAGATTATTTTTTTTCCCCAGTCATGGCATTTGAACTCTGGGCCTGGGTCTGTCCCTGAGCTCTTCAGCTCAAGGCTAGCACTCTACCACTTGAGATATAGCACCACTTCCAGCCTTTTCTGTTTATATGGTACTGAGGAATTGAACCCAGGGCTTCATGCATGCTAGGCAAGCACTCTACCATGAGCCACATTATAGAGTCTGCTCGTTAAAACTTAGTTAAGACTTCCAATATGAAATATGTCACCCTCTTATTTCATATTCTTGGCAACATTAATCAGAAAAAATGTTACTAGCAATAACTTGAAGATGCCATTGACTCCTGATTTTTAAAAAAATTGTTATAATCAATATATTGATCGTACAAATAGATGAGTTTCACTGTGACACTTCATACATGCATATAGCCTTAATATCCTCAGTTAACAGTGACATTCAGGGGAGGTTTGTTATTTTCAATGTTATATATTCTGTGTTATGCTTTATATATTTATTTATTTATTAATTGGTTTTATTTTTTCATTTACAATTGGGGACTATTATAAGCAGTTCTACAACAAATATCTCTGTATGTAGTTTTTACATAAGTGTGCAGAATTATTTATAGGATAAATTCCTAGGATGGAGTCATCAGTTAAAAAGGTATGATGGCTCATACTTGTAATCCTGGCTTCTTGAGAGGCAGGGATAGGGAAGATGACAGTTGGAGACCAGCCTGAGCACACAGTGAAATTTCCATCTTAATCAGTTAGCCAGGTATGGTAGCACAGGCCGACCAATCCACCCATGTGGGAGGCATAAGTAGAATGATTATGGTCTAAGTCCACCTGTGCATAAAATGGAAGATACAAAGGAAAAACTATGACAAGTAAAGAGGTATAGAGCACCTCGCAGTAATCATGAAGCTCTGAGTTCAACCTCTAGTACTGAAAAATAGAGGAAGGAAGGAAGGAAGGGAGGAAGGGAGGAAGGGAGGGAGGGAGCAAAAGAGAGAGGGAAAGAAAATTTTAAAAGGATTTTAATTTTGATTCAGATTGTTAAATTGCCCTTATTTATACTACTTATTTTCTAATTTATTGTGGGGAAAATGTTAGCAATGTTATACTTCGTTATTTTTTATTTTATCTTATTATTTCATTATTTTACTTACTTGTTATTATTAGTCCAGTAGTTTCAAAATGTATAGTTGGAAAAACTATTGATTAAAATAGTTCAATTATCTTTTCATTTCCCGAACTGAGTTTGAACATCATTTTGAACTTGTTATTCACTTATATGTAATCATCTTTGGATGTTATTTCCCATTTGTGGGGAGGTTGTTTGGTGGTACTAGGGTTTGAATTCAGGATTTCACATTTGCTAGGCAGGTGAGCCACACCTTCAGCTTTTTGCATGTGTGGGGGGGAGTCCAGTCATGGGGCCTTCAGCTCAAGGCTAGCACTCTACCACTTGAGCCACAGTGCCACTTCCGGCTTTTTTCTTTTTGCTTATGTGGTGCTGAGGAATCGAACCCAGGGCCTCATGCATGCAAGGCAAGCGCTCTACCACTGAGCTACCTTCCCAGCCCACCTTCAGCTTTTTTGTGCACTGATTTTTGGGTGTTTTGTTTTGTTTTGTTTTTTTGGTCGTGGGGCTTGAACTCTGGGCCTGGGTGCTGTCCCTCAGTTCTTCAGCTCAAGGCTAGCACTCTACCACTTGAGCCACAGCGCTACTTCCTGCACTGTTATTTTTAAGATAACTTGCTTCCTGCCCAGGCATGTGTTTGGACTATCATCTGCCTATTTTAGGCTTCCATAGCTGGAATAACAGGCATTTGACACCACACCCAGCTTCTTTCCATTGAATGCAGTCTTGTAGATTTTTCTGCTTGAACTGGCTTCAAACCAGTCCTCTGTTCTGTTTTCTACATAGTTTAGAATGACAAGCATACACCCAGTATACCCAACTACAGGTTGGGAAGGGTCATAAGAACTTTTCTGTCCAAGCTTGATGTCAAACCACAATCCTCCAGTTCTCAACCTCCCAAGTAGGCAGGATTATAGGCATGACCCACTGTTTCTTGGCTATATTTATGTTTTTGATGGACTTTGGGTATAATGAATTAGATAATCATCAATCTGTCTCTTTGCTTCTTTATATGAGAAGCAAGATAATAGTAAGGCTTTCCTTATAAGTCACTGCAAGGATTAAATGGGTTATGTAAACCAACACTGAACCCGACACATAGTAAGTTCTCCATGATCATTATATCACTTGCATAATTTCTACTGCCATAATAAAATACCTGCTCAATTTGTTTCTTCTTTGCTCAATAGAATGCGTCCTGATGTTATAACAAGAACTGACTGGTTTGCTCCAGTCATATGGGAAGGAACTTACAATAGACAAGTCCTAGAAAACTATTACAAGAAGCTGAATATTACAATAGGCTTGGTTGTATTTGCTCCTGAACAGTAGGTGCTCCTAATATTTGTCTTTTTTTATTTTAGTGAGAATTTATGGACTTTTTATGTCAAAAGAATAATTCACAATTAACCCTAGTAATGAGTTCTGGCTATCATGGAGTGGTTATTTTCTTCTGCCTTAGCTCAGTCCTTAACACTTTTACATTTAGCTTTCTTGCTTCACAACAAATGCTATGGCACTTCTCAGGTCCCCAAACATACGATCTTCTCCTATACTAACCAAAATAGTTATTTATAGACCCAGCTTTTCTACCCTCACCTTCTTTACTATCATTAACATGTATGTTAATAGGCATGTTAATGACATATTCTCTACTGATTAATTTCATCAAAGTATTTTTTCTGTTTTTTCATATTTCAGATTTGTAGATCACTACATGAAAAAGTTTCTACAATCTGCTAATAAGCACTTTATGGTTGGATTTAATGTTATCTTTTACATCTTTTTTGATGGCAAAACCAAGCTTCCTTACATAGAGATGAGTCTTCTTCGAACATTCAAGCTATTTCCTCTAGTCAATGAAAGCATAAATCAAGACATTAGTATCAGAACCATGAAGAACTTCAACATACACCTCGTGGACAAAATTCAGTATGAAGTTGATTTTCTCTTCATTATGGCTGTAAACCAGATCTTCAAGAATGACTTCGGGGTAGAAGCCCTGGGAAAGTCTGTAGCTCAACTCCATGCCTGGTGGTATTTTAAAACTATTAATGAATTTCCTTATGAGAGAAGACATAAATCAGCAGCTTTCATCCCCTTTGAACAGGGAGATTTCTATTACCATAAAGCCATTTTTGGTGGCACACCCCAGGAAATTTTAGTCTTCTTTACACAGTGTATAAAAGGAATTAAAAGTGACATCAGAAGAAAAATTAACAGCCTGTATGAAAGCCATCTAAACAAATATTTTTTTGTCAACAAACCCACTAAGCTGTTATCACCAGAATATAATTGGGACCCTAAATTTAAAACTCCTCCACAAATTAAACATGTTAATATAGCATGGCAGTCAGAAATAATTTGATGGTTATACCATTAGGCTTATGGATTAACAAGTAAATTACAATATTTTCTTGAATGCAAAATTTGGGAAACTTTTCAGTTTTTAGAAACTTTCAAAAATGTATAATCTTCTAAAATAAATTGTTTTTATTGTAATTTGGGACCATTTAATCTTACCTAGTTTGAATAAAATAATGAACGAATGAGATGTCTTTAACTTCCATTTCTTGCACGGGAAGCAGGAGCTGTTTCTCTTATTTTTTTTTATTCCTTCTAACTTTAATCCTGTTATATTAAGACAAATCCTTGCTAAAACTTTAATAAATAACTAAATGGATAATAGTTTAATGTGATGTCATTACTTGTATAATGTAATATCATGTGTATTTTAAATGTGGTAGTACTTCATAAAAATGATTTTTATGAAAAATATGCGCACACACAGTTCAGGAAACACATGTGCACACACACACATATATATACATATATACATGTAATATTAATACACATATATCATGTGAAAGGGATATGTGTAAAGAAAATAATATTCAGCAACTTGTTCATTAGATATTTACCATGATTTATAGTGTTGGGATATATATAGCTTGTGATTAATCTCATTCAATATTTAATCCATCTAGTATGTGATTGAACTTAGATGAATTAAGACATTCTACCAACTATGCATTTTTTATGGTTACAAAGAGAGGTGTGAAGTTCATATTTTTAAATGGTACATAGGAGTCATATTTTTCAAACAAACATTTATTGAACTCTTGGAGGCGCTCTAGGCTCTTCTGGGTACAATCCCAGGTAGGAAAGTGTTACAACACTATTTTTCCTCAGTGGTGCTGTGGCTCAGGTGGTAGAGTGCTCGCCTTGAGCTGAAGAGCTGAGGAACAGTGCCCAGACCCAGAGTTCAAGCCCTGTGACCACCAAAAAAAAAAGAAAAAGAAAGGGTTCTCTGACTATTTTTCCTCAAGGACTATCAAGGAAGAGAAAACTATGTATAAATGTTTACCTGGCAAATTTTAAAGTCCCCAGATTAACCAGAGAAAAGACATGGCTAAAATGTTGTAGTGGTTCAGAAAGGAGAGAAATCACTCATGTAAGAATGTGTAATCCTCTCAATTATGTCGTCATTTCACAAATTTAAGGAGGCATTATAGCATAGTTATACAAAGCAAAGCTTCTAAAGAGTTTTTATTTACTTTTAAGGGAGAAAAATCTGAGATTTAATAAGTACTCTTTAAATGCTATTACTGACAATTATCTCTAAACTTTTAAGGAATAATGATGATGACGATGGCAGGCAGATCTTTTTTTGGGGGGTGGGGTGTCCCGTCATGGGGCCTGAACTCTGGGCTTGGGCGCTGTCCCTCAGCTCTTCAGCTCAAGGCTAGCCCTCTACCACTTGAGCCACAGTGCCAGTTCCGGCTTTTTTTTTCTTTTTGCTTATGGGGTGTTGAGGAATTGAACCCAGGGCCTCATGCATGCAAGGCAAGCGCTCTACCACTGAGCCACCCTCCCAGCCCTATGAACATTTCCTATTAGAAACCTCATCCACAATATCAGAAAGTTGAACAATTATGAGCAGTTAAAAGTGCATACTAGGCCACATAAAAATTAATGTTCAATATGCTTAGCAGCACTTTCAGCTCATTTGATAGCCTAGAGAAAGCTAATGCTCTATTTTTAAATTGTCTTTCCATGTTTTTTCTTTTTTTTTCCCCCTTAAGATTCCTTACCAAATATTTTATGGTATAGTATCAAAATGCAGAACAATGCTCTGTACAAATGTCAGTTTCTTTTCTTTTTTTTTTTTTTTTTACAAATGTCAGTTTCTGAGGAGGAAGTAAATTTTCAGTGCTGGACAGATCTGGAACATACGTTAGTCCTAATTTGTATATATGAACAAAATAGAGCCATCTCAGAGACAAGCAAAGCAAGAGAGAAGCAAAAGCAAGGCACTTCTGTTGTTTTTATTTTGTTAGACAAAAAGTATTATAGGGGGTGTATGTGCTTTCTGTGCCTGTATATTTCCTTTCAAAAAAATCTTTTGTGAATTGCAAAATTGTCAAATGAGTTGCCCAAAACTGTCATCCTTCGTTAGACGCCTAGAATAGTGTAAATTCTCTTTTGTACCCTGTTGCCATCTGTGCCTCTCCCCCCCCCAAGAGTGAGGATCCAATCCAACAATATAATTATCAGACTCTTGTACTAAAGAGCCTTCCAAACAAACAAACAAAAAATCTTCTGTCTCTGCCACATTGCTTTCCGAACAAATTATCTATCACTTTCACTATATGATACATCTTGCCTGAACTCTTCTCTCACCCAACAAAAAGATCAATGTATAGATTTGTGCATACTTTCTGATAACAAAAATCAACTGCATTTCTAAACTACTATCAAAAAATCATTGGTAAATATTTTTAAAGATGACATTTTACCATACAATAGCAAAAAAATCAAGTATTTACTAATGAATCTACAAACATTTGTAAAACCTCAATGTCTATTTAAAGGTATTAAAGAAAACTAGACTAAATGGTTAATTGGAAGACTCAAAAAGATAGAAATGTCAATCCATTCAAAATGATTGACTGATTTAGTTTTATCCCAGTTAAAATTTACAGGAAGTGTTTAAGTGTATAGATATATATATTTACAGATTGTTTTTAATCTTTATGCACATTTTATGCCCACCCTGGGACTCATGTGTACAACTATGCTAATTCTAGGGCTTGAATTCAGGACCTGGAGCTCTTACTTAGCTTTTTTTGCTCAGGACTAGTGTTTAAATACTTTTCACTCCTTGCTTTTTTCTAATTAATTGGAAATAAGACTCTCAGATTTGTCTGCCTGGGCTGGCTTTGAACAACAGTTTTCAGATCATAGAGTCCTGCAGAGCTAAGATTATAGGAGTTAACTACTAGTGCTCAGCTAAGGTAAGAGTTCTTATTCTACAAAACATTGCCTGATCATAAGGTAAGATAATACAATAACATATTAGAATAGAAGCTGGCAAATCAATGTAACATATGCAATGACCCACATACAAATGGATATATCATATATGACAATAATGGCACTGCTGAGTCCTAAAGAAAACAAAGATAAATTTTAACAAATGGTACTGGGAACATAGAAAAAACATACAGGAAAAGGAAAATGTACCCTTTTCCTCATCAGTGTATACTTCATTGACTTTAAGGGTTTTTTAAATTTTATTCCCTGCTAGAGTTCTAAAACATGGGATAGTAACTAGTGTAAAAGAAAGCTGTCATTTTTTAACAACTAAAAAAAGGAAAGAATGTGTAAATGAATGACAAGTTAGGAAATGGTCCTTAGATTCTTGCTTCATCTGCCTTTGTTTAATCCTAACATGGCATAAGAAAAGTATAAAAGGGCCTGGGAAGTATAAAAGGTAGCTCAGTGGTAGAATGCTTGCCTTGCATGTATGAGACCCTGGGTTCAATTCCTCAGCACCACATAAGCAGAAAAAGCCAAAGTGGCGCTGTAGCTCAAGTGGTAGAGCGCTAGCCTTGAGCTGAAGAGCTGAGGGACAGCACCCAGGCCCAGAGTTCAGGTTCCACAACCGACAAGAAAGAAAGAAAGAGAGAGAGAAAGAAGGCGAGAGAGATATAACCCCTGCTTTCGTAGGTATAATTTGTGGAGGGGAAGGGGAAAAACAAATCGTTTAAATAGGGATACAAGTGGACCCATTGCAACAATGTACAAATCATTATGTCGAAAAATGAACTTTACAACTTTGGTGGGGGGGTAGCGGGGAGGATTGGATGGGGGGACGGGGGGGGGGAGGATGGGAAGGGGAAACAAAGGAGGAGGTTACAATGCTTGATAAGAAATGTACTCATTATCTTGCCCATGTAATTGTAACCCCCTCTGTACAGTATTTTCACAATTAAAAAATAAAAAAAGGAGAGAGAGAGAAAGAGAAAGGGAGAGAGAAAGAGAGGGAGGGAGGGAAGGAAGGAAGCAAGCAAGGAAGCAAGGAAGGAAGCAAGGAAGGAAGCAAGGAAGGAAGAAAAATTACACTAGATGGCACAACATAATAAAAAGTAATCACATTGTTTCTGAAGAATTGCTTCAAAGAAAGCCTGCTAATGTCAATATTCTTTTGTATTTTACTTCTCTAATCTCCTGGAACCTCAGACTGGATCCATGGGGGGAGGGGAGGAGGATCTGAATGACAGTACCAGGCAACATTAAGAACTACCATTTCCTACTCAAAAGGTAGAGATAGAAGAATTACAGTCCAAGGCCAGCTGAGCAAAAGTGCAAGACTCTTTAAGAAACAACAACAAAAACCTAAATAAAAAAGGGCTGGGGAGCATGGCTTAATGGTAGAGCATTTGCTTAGCAAGTATGAGACCTTGAATTCAAACCCCAATCCCTTCACACACACACACACACACACACACAAATCCTACTATTTCCTTGTATCACTAAACCCTATCTTATTGGGTCATAATTATCTCTAGGTTTCTCAGTGCTTACGGCAATAAACTGCCATTAACCTGCCCATCAGTCATATTAGGATAAAGAGACAATCTTGTTTCATCTTTAGTGCTAAAAATCTCAAATTTCAGGAAATCTCTTTGGTGTGAACCAAAACATTTGGTGGCTCTTCATCAGGCCCAGCAGGTCCAGATTGATCTGAACCTCATTCAAACCAAAACCAGCATAGTACCCTAAAAAATATTATATATATATATATATACATGTATGTATGTATGTATGTATTATGTATGTATGTTTTGTCCTCTCTTTTTTTTCTTTTCTTTTTTTTTTTTTTGTTGGTTGTGGGGTTTGAACTCTGGGCTCAGGTGCTGTCCTTGAACTAAAATGCTCTACCAATTGAGCCACAACACCACTTCCCGTTCTTTAGTGGTTAATTGGAGATAAGAGTCTCACAGACTTTCCTGGCCCAGATAGCTTTGGTCCCTGAGTAGCCAGGGTTACAGGTGTGAGCTACCAGCACCTAGCCTGTCCTCT